GTGTCTATGTGTATCTATGTGTGTCTCGTGTATCGTTTGACGTCATTCATATTTTCTCAGCTCGAATTTCTCCCCGTTTTGTCCAATCTCACCATAATTGCGCATTGTCTCTTCTCCTTTTCCTTTCGGAAATTGCAAATATCTCCGTAATTTTTTTAACTCTGTAAATTACGAAAATATTGTAGTTATAAGATAAATATATATAACTGTAAAATGTGACATTTTTCTTAAAGACAACTTGAACTTCAACTTCATAATATTTACAATTATTTTGTGATTGTTTTATAGGTAAGTAGCTGATTGATTGGATAATAATAAATCAACTAGAACTAGTAAGAACCTAGCGAAGTAGATGGTTCAGAGAGTACAAGAAGATCACAGAACACAAACAAAAATTATCAAATCGTAAGTAATGCAAGAAATCAAGTAAATTAGTCAAGAATGCTAGTTGGATTTGTTACAGTTCTCAGATTATATTTTAGGTTTCTAATTTTTAATTAGCTGTAATCAATTCTGCGATAATATCGCATGTCATAAAAATTACATAGAGAAATTCTCAATATATATTTAAATGCTACAAAATAAAAGATAAAATAAAAAGTTTAAATATTGAACATTCTTTTGCATCGAAATAAATAAAATATTTTGATAAAATGATATTAAATTAACAAAAAGTTAAATTTTTCAACATATAAATAAATTCTAAGATATAAATAAGTAAAAAATTGTTCTCTTTATTCTTTACTTTATTCTGCACAAAAATCCTATTTATCAAAATATTGAACATTGACGAAAAACATGTGACAAATGATGGTCCCTATTAATTTTTACGAAGCAAACTCGATTTAATAATTTAAAATATATATATTTAAGCAATCAGAATCTGTACTAATAGTTATACGACATTCTGTGTCTTATGACAAGACAATGGTAAAATAGTATTCCAAATTGGCAGTATTTTTTAAACTTCTAAAGATACTGTCAATATTGTTCGTATTGTTTCGTATTGTCATGAGTAACATAGTTGACAGAAATTTGATTAAGCGCTTCTTTATATTTTTTAAAAATATTCTCTGGATAAATATTGTAATGTGTGATTATTTCATCGCAAAGCGTAGAGCTGACAAATTCGAGCCGGAGAAATAATGTCGACGCATTTTTCGATCTTTATCTTTTTTTTCTTCTCACATATAATTGTCCGTCCGGCCACGAAGAAACGCGATAGCATCGCTTCGATTCAATTAGTCGGTTACAAATTAAGCGGTGTTACTATTAAATTATTGCACATTGAACGAACAATTACCGTTGAGTTTTCAGATACTGCGAGAGACTTTTTTTTCTCTTTTTCATGAACACTAATAGCCGCTTGGAGATTCATTAAAGTCCTACTTAATTACGAATTAACTCTCTCTCTCTTGTCGCTTCTCTCTGTTATGTCCATGTATACATGTACATTCGTACGTGTACTCCGTATGTTCCGTATATATTTATATACAATAATATGAATATATATATGTAGGATGCTCTGCTTCTCTATTGCATCTTCTTTCAGCGCATCTTTGATGACTTCAATAGTTTTTAAATTACAATAATTAAGATGAAAAAAATTTTTTTATAATGTATAAATATTTTTTGTTATATTAATATTCTTTACTTTAACGATATCTTTTTATTGAAAATGTAATAGTAAATATATAGAAGCCGTTTTTTAAGTCGATGAAAGAATTCGCGGATGAAAGAAACGGCATAAGCAGCAGAGCCACTCCGTATATGCATATTCAATTATTTATTTATTTATTTATTTATAATATATATATGTTTCTCTCATTAGTGCCTATTTATTGTTAGTCAAGGAGGAATGTAGTCGTAGTGGTCATGTTGGGTTGAGCGAGATAAAGAATCAAGCCAGCCGGTACGTTCATCGTCCGATATCTGACTGACATAACGGGAGACCTTATAATTGGCATGGTGAAAAAGTTGGTAATTTTTCCCATGCATCGCTCGGAGTTGAAAAAATGATTACGTTTAGCTAGGCCCTTCCTCATTACGGCTAAGACGTAATCCCTAAAATTAGGTGGGCCAAGTGTCATCTCGTCTGCTCTCGCGTCTTCGATTATCTCGATTATAAATACATCGCTTAGGCTATTGCTCGTAGGCGAGTTGCAAATGCTTAACTTCTGGTTCTGGTTAATTATTATTCGGCACTACGCTCAAATCATGTAATAATTCCGAATGTCTATTAGATAGTGTCTATGACGACGTCAACAACCAACTCGCGTTTACGCGTTGATGCGAATCGTGGATGTCCGTGCTTAGGGCTCTGACGGATTTTGATTGCTCTGAGATCTGTGAATGCGTAAAATGATGCGGCAGTCGGTAACATATTAATGACGAATTGCTGAAAGAAAGAAGAGAACGTAAATGACATTTTCAGAGACTCGATACTTTCTATAATTATCATTAATTCGTTATATTAAATAAATAGTGATAACAAATTAAGTTTTCAGGGGAATATTTTTATCGTATATCTATATCGTGAATTCAATTCACGTACGCGCGTTTTGCTACGAAAATTACTTTACGTTTAACTCTGCAAGAACCAACTCTATTACAAATGCACAGTTTGCGAACGGTGAAATGCTGAAGAACGGCAGTCTTTCTGCGGAACTTAGCACCGAGAGAGCTTAATTATCCAACGCAGACAAAAGGTTAAAATCCGTCAACTCCGCGCATTTCATAGATCGCAAAATGCACGAAGGAAAAGTCTAGCTTAGCCTTCCATCGTTTGTGAACGTCGGAGTAACGGACATATTTGATTTTGACCTCGTCTGAGGGCAGGAAGGATCTGATCTTCCTCGGTACGGCCTTTTAACTACAGTATGCAATACATCTACAAAATTCGCTTTTTCAATTGACATTAATTGCATTCCGCAGAAATTGTTTTACAACTGTGATATAAGAATCGAATCGTTTATTTAATTGTTACCTACTACTCTTCATTCGGCATCTTAAGCCCATTCTACATTAGACGCAAGCCGATCGCAAGTTTTCCGCAACAAACTTGCGATCGGCTTGCGTCTAATGTAGAATGGGCTTTAAATGATGAACGATTGCCACGTAACGATGCTAGATCTTTTATTGCCACACTGAGTTATAAAACCACTGTCTCTCGGTGGCGCATTCCGACACCTCATTCGACAGCCGTGAATCGAGCATAGGTTTGCCTCCTGCAGGATGACTAAGGATAACGTGGGAATCGGATCGAGCCGAATCCTTAGAAGATAGATTGAATTCTCTTCGAATTTAAGGATCGCGTCTATCCTATTATCCTTAAACGTACTCTCTCACACAAGCGTAACTATTTTTATCGCCGGATACGCACGCTACGATGATTGTATATGTTCCGGGGCCTCATATCGCTTTATATTGTCACGAGATATGATCCTCCATAATGGATATTTCTAGCGTAATAGAGTCACCCGCGTTGTCATCGGTATTGACGATTGACAGTCGGTGCGTTCAGTTTTGATTCGCGGGAATTACTCATATATAGTACATGGTATAATATAATACATACGGTTTACCTTTTTTATATGTATATTGTATGTATATATATGTATATATATAGATATATATAATATATATATAATATATACATATAATATACATCACTCTGTGTGTGTCCTCCCCTCCGTCGGAGATCAATTCCTTACGACAAACATATATATCGCCCCTGCTTTGCCGTCGTTTACGTACATACATACATACAAATGTTTATGTGGTTTAGCGGAACATCAACAATTTACTTTATAAGGCCCAAATATTGTGCGCTACTTGTTCAATCAAATACGCGAAAGGAGCTTCTTCTGCGGAAGCGAATCAACCCTCGGTTCGCTCAATGATGCTCGATCCACGGAGGACGCGTGACACAGTTTCGATCGACAATCGATGCCGAAAATCAACATCAAAATAGTTTATACTACGAATCTATCAATTCGTATGAATTCGAGATATTTCTGCTTGGAGTATTTAGAAATTTTCTGGCTACACGCAATTATTTTATAATACTTATTTGATACTCATATCGTTACGTAATTATTTATTGCGCTTATGCGCAATCTTGATGTGAAAATATGATGGTACAATGTTTACGCTCGGTATAATCAAATCGTGAAAATGTGAATTGCAAATTATACAATATTTTTTATTAGCAAATTAATAACCAGTATCAATCCTGTAAGTTCACTAATAATGTTACAATTGTTGTAGTATAATAGTTATGTAAGAAGAAAACAATTGATTTATAAGCAAATTTTATTCGTTTTTAAATTGCATATTACGTTATTCATGAAGTTCACAAAAAATATATATAGCCTTCAACTCTCTGATGTGTGAACTCTCATCCACTCTTATGTATAGATACTTTACTTATTAATTCTAATTTATTCGTATCAACAATACAAAGTTCTTTTGTTATACTGTTATTTATAATGTACTCTAAGGTCCGTTTCCACCAACGCAGATCAACTTTAATCTCGGTTCAACTTAATCTTTGTCTTTTTCTAGTTCTAAAGATTAGAAAAAGACGAAGAGTAAGTTGAACCGAGATTAAAATTAATCTATATTGGTAGAAATGGGCATAAGAGGCGTAAACAAGTTTTGTAAGAAGTCAATATCCAGGTAATATCGCTTTTAGCCAAAATTTACAAATGGAATCAATTCAGATTAACCTGCATTTTTGGTTCAGTAGAGAACCACATGCTATTGTATTCAATACTTATTGCATATTCATTAAATTTGCAAGCTGATCATCGTGCATAAACTCTTGATGTTGATCTTGAAAGTCATTTTCGCATCGATTATCTCTCGAAGAATGAGTAGCATCTCAACGTTCATTCGGCGACAGCGACCAAAGACGAAGGTCACTGGCTCGAGCGAGCAATTCAAGCGGAAAAGCGAACGTCTTGGACGCGTACGCGCTCTCAGCCATAAGCCCGGCCCGCGGCTGTTCTAGGTCCGGATGTCAATAGCGACTAGGTGATTTCACCCGCAAACGACTCGATCGCAAACAACACGAACTTGACAGTATCAGCGACTTCGATCTTAGTTTAAGAACCTAGAATCTAGCTGGACTAGGATCAAGGTCAGTGATGCGATCGTCGATTTAGCTCCATTGACGAGGCGTTGACCTCGGAAATGCCAGACGAATTCCTAAAACAGGTTCCAGAAAGAGGAACGAATCTTCCTCGTGGCACCGATCCTCCGCAAACATCGCCTACGTCATCAATGATCCCGTATCTTCTTTTCGCTAACTATCGATCTCATTTCCCCCTTTTTGCCGACAATGTAATAGACAGGCAACGTGCGTCGGACGACTATGGGAGATTCTTCGGGTTTCCCTTCTGGAATGCCTTGCCAAATGTGTCGCGCGTTCGTTCTTTTCTATCTTCCTCTAGATCCACGGCCCTCAAGTAGCGCTGTCAAGGACAATGGACTTTCTGCTGTCCTTGCGACGGCGACCGACCAGCTGGCGGATCGGATTTTGCACGGGGACGCTCGCGGGTAGTAGATCGGGCTCCTCGATCGTTGAGGTTGCCAAGACCACAGAGAGAGTCGATGATGATGACGACGAGGAAGAGGAAAAGGCGGCACCGCCGTGATGATTGATGGTATTCGATGACTGACCGCGTCGCAACAACGTTGATCCGCCGATGGACGTCGCGGACGGCGTTCTCGTCGTCGTCGTCGTCGTCGACGGCGCTGAGGACCGTTCTGATGCCGTCGACGACGTCGTCGAGCCTGCAATGAACTGCTGGTGTCTCGTGGTCGACGCTTGTTGCTGGTATTGTTGCGATCTGATGGCATGATAGGCCATGTCTCTTTGCTGGGCTCGCGACATGGCCAAAATGTGCGAGCCCGTTGCGTGGTCTTGCCTGAGATCATGAGGGTTGTCGTTGCTGATGCTGGAGGATGACGAGTAGTGCGAGAGCGACGAGACAGGAGAAGTGGTGCTCGCGATGGAGGAAGTGGTGATGGTGCGTGTGGTGCCGGATGTGTCAGTGACCGCTGCTGGTAGAGCTGCTTCCGGTGCACCGTTGACCAGCGACTGGACCGCATGGTCCGGTGGATGGCGTATGAGAAGCTCAGGAACAGCGATTGAAGAACGTTGCTGTTTGTCGTTGCCCAAATCGCCAGCGCAGCCATAATCGTAGCTGCAGCAAAGCTGCCCGTCCTACGAAGAGGTTCGTGGGAGACTGGGTTAGCCACGGCGGAGAGAATTTTTCGTTCATAATTATTGACTTGGTTTGTCAATTCGGGATTGAAAAGTCTTGGCCAGCATGATTCATGAGAGTACGTGATTCGTGAGAGAACCGGTACCGTGGTAAGAATGATATATTGAAAGTGAACAATGCAAACATACGAAATGATGTGAGCATGAAGTTGCTTTGCGATCGTGAACCGATCGTGTGCTCCGAACAAAAATGAATATTTCTTAACTACTATACAGAATTATTCTTTGCACAGTAATAGAATATCATGGCGTCTTATACTAATTTATTATTTAATTAAAAAAGACATTTTTGCTATTCTAATATTTACAAAGAGAGAAAATGTTTGAATCATAGAAGTTACATAATTAACCCATTTCTTGTACCTTTTATAATATTAGAAATTTTATCGATCAGATTATTGTTAATTTTTTGCTCATAAATGATATAATTTAACTTTGTGTTCGTGTTGTGTACATATTAAAGAATTTTTATTTTAGTGATAAATGGATTAAAATATATAATGGAATCTTTTATATTTTTCTACGTACCACGACGTTAACAAATGGGTTAACTATCAATCGATTACTCAATGCACCAAGACTTTCCAACCTGTAGTGAGGCAGGTACTTGTGTCCATAGTATGTAATTCATTGTTTCGTAGAACAATACCGCATCAGTTCCGCCGTGGCGAGATAATAAACCAACGTGCAAAAATCGACCCCCGCTTTACTTCCCTTGAAACTTTCCTTGCGATGTTCCTCGCACCCGCACTGGCGGCGTCCTTTTCTCTCAGTTAAGAAGACGATTTAAGTGGTCATAATCACAATTACAATAACTGTAAGGACACTCATGCTGACATTCGAAAGGGGGCAAAACAATGAATTTCCATAGTATGTCTTTGATACCCGGCGACAAATCTCTAAGTTTCCACTACTTTCCGCTACGATCCTGGCAGGATACTTTTATAATGTATGTATACATATGTGTACACAATACTTGCACGACGATCATTAATATAAAACAATATTCTACAACTCTCTAAATATATCTATATATTTTGGTGATGGAATTTCATTTAAAATCTAAGAGAAAATCTAAAAGCTAATTCGATTAGACGCACTCAGTGCGCACTGATGCACATTAAAGCCGTCGTACACAAAATAACGTAAAATAAAAAAAAAACATTGTTTCTCTCTAAATAAATATAGAAATTAATTAAATCGTGAAATATCCAATACATTTTATTGTACTGTTTCGCCCGCGCGGCCGATTTACGAGATCGCGTTCGTAGACGCGCACACGCACTCCAGAAATAAACGACATGAATGTTAAGAAGAAGAACAAGAAGCGTTTATTGATCAAGAATGCAAAATAGAACACCGCGAAAGATATAAGATGGAGCAATCGAGAGATACGTCCGAACGCGCTGACAGCTCACATCCAAATCTGTCTATCTTGTTAGACAATTGACTTGCTGGTTGTCTCGGCAACGCGCTCGCTTGCATATGCCATGGGTATCGGCAAGGCACGGGCATAAAGGTCGCAGCACAGACTTTTGCATAACGCATAATGCATAATGCATAAGCGAATCAACTAATTAGAATCTTTTCTCTCTTCCCATTCCATGAAAAAGAAGAATTTCGATTGGTTGATTCCCTTATGCATTATGCATTATACGTTATGCAAGAATCCGTGCTGCGGCCATAACATTACTAGTAGGTAAAATATGTATTTCATAATTCGAAATATTTGCATTTCATTTTTATACTCAAATAAGTGTACAACAACTCTAATACGCACCAGTGTGTACTAGTGCTTTCAATCGAATTCCCTATGAAATTAATTCTTTTACGTATTATAGCTTGATTCTATGCTAGCCTCGGTATTTTATCGTTCACATTTCGCATCTCTGTGCGAGTCACTTTTATCTTGCCAGAATCGATGCTTGATAAGTCGATACAGAGAAAGAAAAAGACCTCTTGGTGCTTCTACCGAATCTCGAATGCAGATCAGAGGAGGGTGCAGTGGAGGCTCAGGTGCAACAACGACTCTTTTAAAAAATAAAAAAAAAAGAAGAAAGAGAGAGACATACAAACAAACATAATCGCGAATCCAAGACGCAGTCTGTATATGTGTTGTGTGCACATGTGTGCGTGCGCGCGCGTGTGTGTGAATATATGTATGTGGAGTGCAGCCACAGTAGAAGGAATGAGAAATCAGGAATAAGGATTTCAACTTATCAGAAACTGTGTATTCCGATGTATCCGATTTCTGATGATAGGTTCACTGAGAAAAATTGTCTGGTTGGATTAAATAGTAATCCTGGTGGAAAATGGACGAATCAGAGTTCTCTCTCTCTCTCTCTCTCTCTCTCTCTCTCTCTCTCTCTCTGATTAAGTTTATTAGAATTCTAGTTGAGATAACTAGAATTCTGATTAATATATAAAATTATTCTGGTAAAAATAAGAATTCTAGTAGATTTTACCAGAAATATTCTAATAAATTCAACCAGAAATTTCTGATTCGTCCATTTTCAACCAGAAATTGTTTTCAATGTTGAAATCGTTATTCCTTACTCCTAATTCCTTCTATTGTGGCTGCACCCTTACACGTGTCTGCCACCCCGTGCGCCATGCTCCTCGATCGACATGAGAAAGATCTGCCGACCGAAATCGCCTTTATCTCTTTTATCTTTTTGCATGAACGACCGTGCGTCTCGGAGTGTGCGTAAATAAAAAAAAGGTGAAAAAGAGAAAAGTGAGAGGGAATAGTGCGCGACATTGGGAGAGTAAGAAATAAAATATGTAAGAAGTGTGTGTCAACGCATGCAAATTTCGAAAGCGTGCAATCGATCTTTCCACGGATGAGATAAGATAATACGTCGTATTCTCGTTCGATTCGTCGACGAATTTATTGTGCACGATACTGAACGATAAAAAACATGCAAATTATTTCGTGCAGATGTTATTTTTATTAATGTGAATATTTCAAATAAAGAGCTTCAGATTAAGAGCAGAAATGTAAATACAAACGAATGGGCATCGTTAATCAATCATCTATATAATTGGGATAATAAAAGTTAGCTATTAGATTGTAAGATAAGACCCAACACGTAATAGTTCATAACTGTCAAATGTCGAACAGTCAGTAATTTTTAGTGAACATATGAATATCATGGATTCTGTCGAACTAATTTCGAAATCTGCTACGCTCTTAAATCTAAAAGATCGTCAACGTCACGTCGAGAACACGTTCCTTCAAATACGACCAAATGCACATGCCCTGTGCTTGTGATATATCTATAATATTCTTCAACATTGTCGAATAGTGATAAAGCTTCTGCCCATACAGCACAGATCATTCCAGCAATATTGCAACGATCCAATCTTGCAGTTTAATATTGTAAACGTTGTAGCAATGTTTCCGTACACTAAAAAAATGGTCTGGTTGGATTAAATTCTGGTGGAAAATAGACGAATCGAAATTTTAAGTCTACTAGAATTCTAGTTGAGATAACTAGAATTCTGATTGATATAATTATTCTGGTAAAAATAAGAATTCTAGTAGATTTTACCAGAAATATTGTATCAACCAGAATTGCGATTATTTCAACTAGAATTCTAATAAATTTAACCAGAAAATTCTGATTCATTCATTTTCAACCAGAAATTTTTTTTAGTATAAGCTTCTGTGCTGTATGGATGGTGATCAACGTGCGGCGATTAACGTAGTGATAGTACTGATAGTGATCCTAATAAGTAGAATGTGAAAAAGAAGAAAAGGATTAGTAGAAGAAAAACTACTAACAAGTATCAAGCAAAGGTGCGAAATATAGAAACTTCAAAAAAGTGAAAAGCAGCAGGAAAGATAAAATATTCGAATTAACAAAAAAATAAGACAGAATTACTATGTAAGTAGACGAGAAGAGGTAGGGGAGAAGGGTCTAAGAAAGCACTCGAGCACTCCGTTAGTCGTAGTACATTAATCAGCACACAATAAAGACAGAAGAGAAGAGGCAGGTAGTAGAGATTATAGGTGAGGTAGAAGTGACGTGATTACCGATGCACACAACACGCGCTATTGCTCACCAATTGGGCGCAGTACGGCACCTGCAAGGATACCCATTGTTAGGCTATATGAGGTTAGTCATCACGGGCAAGATGGCGGGGTTAATTTACAACAGCATAGTCTCAGGCAGACAATGTTTTTCTGGCGCAATTCCCCCTTCTATATCCCTCCCTCGCTATTTATCCTATACGTGACCAGGACCTTTCTCTGCGCCACGTCGATCCACATTCGCGATCGTCGCGGCTTAGAAGATTAATATGATTGGCCTAGGCGCTAGCGGAATCACTCTGTCGAATTCCATTCTGGTGGTCCACGGCCAATCGTTGCCAATGTCACCCACTGATGAAACCGTGCCGCCGCTCTTGATTGAACGTGCGGCACGATGCTAGACTGTCGTCGACCGGCGATCAGAAGATCGCGGATCGGATCGACGGGGTCAAGGTCGTGGTACACACTCGATCACTGTGAGGTCAGGTCCGTTTTCTATTAATCGTCGCCGGGCGGTAAACACTAATAAAATGATCCATGCAGGGCCGACCCGAAGCACGCGCGATCGTGAGATCTCGGCTCAATCTCGGTTTGGCGTATATGTGATGTTACGGATTTATCAGGTTATTTTTTATTAGCCACAGATTAGTGAGAATTTAAGATATTTTGATGACGGTGGTTAGAAAATTAATTATTGTTAAAAGCTTTTGGAAAATTAAACCGCGAACGTAACAAAGAAGCTAATTTTAATTAACTTTAAAAGAATTTTAATTAAATAGAAATTTTATTCAAAAAATTTATATTAAGAAAAGTTTAAGATTCCAAACACTTTTCGAAGTCTGAAAGATAAAACGACAAGTATGAAACATCATATATATTATTTCATCGTCACCCTAATTATGAAATCTACAAAAAAATCAAACTTTATGGAAAATACGAACAAAAATAGGAACAGTGTGTGTATATGTATGTACAAACTTAGAATTTCCTAAATTTTATAAACAATAGAAATTCTAAATTGTTAAATTATTGATATAATCATCCGTCATAAACCCCATATAACATTATTATTTTATATTTTCTGCAACTGAGGTTAAGTTAAGCGAAAAGTTCTGAGGTACAAATATCTTGTCTCATATTCAGGATGATAATAGGATGACGATGACGAGAGCGAAGCACTTGGCAAAGAAGCGGAACAATGAGCTTTCTCGAAATTCAGAGTTTTTTTTCTGAGATTGACGTAAATATACGAACCGGGATTCTCACGGCCGTGGCAGTATTCGATCGCATTCCATATCTATAATTTCTACACATATGAAGAGTAATATTTTTTATTAGAAAGGAATTATTTTGCGAATCATGCTCTTCTAGATATTTGATTACATTTGCCCAAAATCTGATTACGCCCAATTAATTGCAGCATTTTTCTTTACATTTCGCTATAAGATACTGATAATTTCAGGTTTCTTTTTTAGAAAAGGACATTAAAAAGGAACATTAAAAAGGAATTAAATAAATTCTCAATATTTTCTAATATAAAGATTTGAATGGATTTAGAAGGAGGTAATCATTTTATAATCTAAAAAAGATCTAAGATATATAATAGATTTAATTAAAAAAATCTAAGCTATATTTATTTCTCCTTTTACAAGGAGAAATATACGACGAACGCTGCCACGTGCAAGGCAGGCATTGAAAAACAAATAACATTTATCTTAGGCTAGCTTGGGGACGCCCCTGGATGTGTCTAATAATGTATAAAACTATGAAGTTTGAATAATTTACATTGGTGAGTACAGCGCTGAAATCGTATAATGACAAGGCTAGCACGACGCATTAATGTACGCCGAGAGAGAAGATAATATTGATTATAAATTAACAATTATAATAATAGATAATATAAGGGTTTAATCGAATAAAAAATTCAAAGAATAGATCAATAAATAGATAATGTTTGATTATATTAATACGATATCATATATATTTTTATATTGTACATATTTTTTGTGAAATACTGAAGCTTTTATGAATAATTTTAGTTCAATTGGTTAGTTAAATTCATGCAAATGAGAAATTAGATTTCAACATAAACATTATTCTTCTTTTCTCGGTATACAGTTAATAAAATTTTAGCGTTCAGCTTTGCAAAATCGATTCGCGTTAATACACACCGCCAAAACAAACGGCATACTGCGAAAAAAAAAGAGGACAGTCAGTATGTATGTACCTTGTACTATTCGAGGATTACCTACTGACAAGTAAAACAGACAGACAGAGAGTAAAAAGAGCGAGTAAAAGTAAAATGATAAATAGATGCTTGTGTGTATAATAATTTAATGTTTGTATGGCGCACAGTTTGATCGAATATGCTAAGAAGATGGAAATTTTAATATAATGGATTGTAAAACGTTCGAGTATTTATATGATTCGGTAATTAAAATAAAATTAATCTCTCGTTGATTGAATATGTTTTTACAAGAAATTTTTTATTTTGAAAAAAATTATAATAATACGCAAAATTAACATGTAATTTAGTGATTTTGTTTAAATACGTTAATGTTAGAATAAAAAATAATTATTGTATATGAAAAAATAATAATGATGATGATGATAGAATGAATGCTAATTATCGTCGTGGAAGAAATCTAATATGAAACGAACGGAAAATGAAATTGATACGATTTGCGCGTGTTGATACTCCGCCATGTACGTATACATATTCGATGGACGCCTGCACAGCGATTTTCTTGCATCTTACATTGGCATAGTACAGCGAGCGCAATTGAATAGGCACATGACAGATCCACGGCTAAATTGAGGCAATATTTCCTTTCATTTACTGACCTTGAGCTCTTGAATTCGCAAGAGAAGTGAGTGCGATGGGTACCAAGATCTCGTTAGGATGATCTGCATTTCAATGTTTTCATTATGTAACATTGTCGCGTTGTTAACAATTCAAAATCGAGAAAATACATCACCAAATATTTTGTTTATGACTGGGATAATCTCCTTGCACAGTCACAATTACTTGGAAGGCATGAAAAAATACATAAATACATTATCTTATTAAGCGCACGTAAAAAATTATTATTGTGCGTTATACAACACATTTTGTATTACTAAAATTAAACAGAACGCTATTAAAAGTTTATGGGAATATGGAAAGGACTCAGCAGATTCTGCGGCGACCATCCTCACGTCTTCCGTGCCCATGACGTCCTTCTCCGGCGAATTCCCCCCTTTATCCTATTCGTATCCTTCGGATCTCGCATGAGATCAGGTCATAGACCGGCGATCGCGGGTCCTGCGATGTGACACGTCCGATCCTTCTTCTTACCTTGCACTCGCACGTGGTGCATTTGTCGTGGGGGTCCTGCCAAGAGCTGCCGCTGTCGTGGACGATGCCGGCGTAGCTGCATGGCCGGGGACGACTAGGAACCGTGAACGAGGTGCCGTTCACCAACACCTCACGAGCGCAGGGATCGTCCTCGCAGCGCGGACAACAATCGCCCTCCTCGGTTACGGGATTCGAGCAGGTCACCGGTGGACACTCCATCTGCCAGCAGTCTATTTCGCCGTACTACAAAAGACCGTACGATAATTCATAGAAAGTTCAAAATCGAACTATCGTCTTTTTTTTTCAAAGAAAATCACATTTTTACGTATGAAACTACGATATGAGGTTTGTGATCTGAAGAGATCAGTTGCTTAAAATATTCTTGTAATTCGTTTATTTTATTCACAAGTCTGTCGTGCGGACAGATATATATTATAGTTCGGTTTTATTACCAGGCACTCGCAAGTCTGACATTGGTATATCCAACGTTCTCCGCTTCTGAAGACTAGGTGATGGAGCTCTTGATGCCTACAGGACGCGGCGGGATTACATTGAGGACAACACTTGTCCCTGTGGCTTCCCGGTGCGCTGCAGTCACATACGGGATCCTTGCAAGTGATCACGCCGTCTTGGCATGTGCATCTCCTGCAAGGATTTCCGGACGGTGCCAACGTGTCACCATTGTTAACTTCCCGATCTTCGAACCAGCAACCTAAAATTACAATATAGTAGGGTAACAATTTTTTGTATTTTTCGTACAATTCTCCATACAATTCTCGAACAGTTTTACTCTAAGAGACGAATGTCTTGATTGTAGACGCGACGAGTGAACTCACTGAGTCTGCATTCTTTTCCGGACTCTTCCAGGTCCTTCGCCGGTGGGCATACGCACTCATAGCCGCCCTCGGTGTTGACGCATTTTGCGGTAGGATGACACGTGTGCCTCCTCTCGAGCGTTAGATCGTTGCACTCGTTGATATCGACACATTGCGTGCCCTGAGTGCTCTCATGCAGGGCGCTCCTGTAGCCAGGCTTGCACCGGCAGTAATACCAGCCGGGCATATTGAAACACGTGGACGATTGATGACATCGATGCAGATCGCTGGCACACTCGTCCAGGTCGAGTTCACAACTGTTGCCGATATAACCGCGTCGGCAGGAGCACCTTCCGGGTGCCACGCATTCGCCACCATTCTGGCAAGTCTGATTGCACACAGCTGCAAAGAAAAAAATACAATTTTACTTCATATTCAGACTTTTTTTACTTTAAAAAGTGAAGATACTGCGATTATCTTCTATTCCATTATTTTTCATAAAATTTAAATTAAGATTCGATTTTTAATGCAACTTAATACAATTTTATTATCGTTAGTTTAAAAATAATTTTTTTATGTGATTAACTCTCTGAGAACAAAAGAGTCGATTAATCAGTCTTAGAGAGCGAAGAGAATATCTTTTCATTTTTTCACTGGTTTTTCAGTTTTTGCGAAACGATATGTTGAAGAAAAATAAACATTTTTCACTTTAGTAAATCTACTTTTACCATTTTATTTATTGATGGGATGAAAATACCCCGTTGCGATTGTTTGTGTACACACTCGCTCGAAGAACGAACGTTTCAATAAAGAAGATGTGTTAGAATTTTTTTCTACTTTCAACAATTTGATAGAGTATTCACTCAGACGTTTTATAAATTGTTTCATAAATTGCTCATAACTATGTATAATTCGTTGTAAAATGGTAAACATTTAATTAGATTAGAAAAAATTAATTCAAATTAATATAAATTTCAATAATAAAAATTATTCTCTTTGCGTTTTATTACACAATAATTTGTTTCTTTGTTTAATAAAATTATTAAAATAAACCCAAGAAAAGTTTCAGAATAATATTGTGAGTTGTCGCTTTGAATATTGAGAAATTATTCATTAAAGTATGCTCTATCGATACATAAAGGCGATATACTGTACGTTTGCATGTGAAACCATCGCCGGTATAGCCGTCCTTGCAGATGCAGTAGTAGCTACCGTTAGTGTTCACACATGTGGCGTGCTCGTCACACAAGTGCTGACCAGTCGCGCACTCATCTAGCTCGGCACAGTTGAACTTGTCCATTCTATAGTAACCCGGAAGACACTCGCACGTGTAAGAGCCGATCACGTTGACGCACTTCGTGTTCGCGTTGCAGTAGTGACCGTTCGATCCACCTTGCTGGTTGCATTCGTCTACGTCTGAGTGACCGAGACGAAAAGAAAACGTCATTGATCATATAATCAACGAAGTCATACGAATGCTCGTATTTAACTTATCACATTTAAAAAAAAGATTCGTGTAAGTGAACTGAAATTTCTAAATAAAATAAGACGTTAAAGAAGATATGACGAATTTTTATTTAATATTATAGCAAATACTTTTCTTATACAAGACTTATAATTTTATAAAATTTATATAAAACAAATTATAATTTAATATTTTTATGTAAAATAATGATGCTGAGAAATATATATATATACCATGTTTTATAAAATATAAAAAATTTATATAACAAATTTTAAGTAGCGATGAAAAATATAACGATTCGTCTTAAAAAACACTAAAATTCATATATTAATTTAATTAATAAAAATAGATGAAGTAAATTACATATTATTAAAAATAAGCAAAATAGAATTTTTAAACATTCATTTCTAATTAAAACTAGATAAAAGCTCAATGCAATAATTTTAGCAACATTAAATTCGCGCATGCTTTTTACGCGAAAATAAAACTCCAGACACAATGTGAGAGAATAGCGATAGCGATAAAAATAACATGATTTTAATCTATCAGAAATCGGATACACCGGATTACACAGTTTCTGATAGGCTGAAATGGTGTAATTTCTATCGCTATCACTATTCCCATTGTGTCTGAAGCTTAAATCCGACAAGTCCGGCGGATATACTTCACGCACGATTAATTATACAAGTAAGTTAGGTAAGGGTTAGGTACCGTGACAGTTAAGACCATCCCCCTGGAAACCGATATCGCAATGGCAGGCGTAGGTCGTCTGGAGATTCAGGCAGGACGCGTTAGTATGACACTTGTGGCCCTTCGCGCAGTAGTCCACCCCTGGTTAAATTGGGTTAGCCATGCAAATACAGAGGTTAGACGATTTAATTAGCGATCTAGCGGTTTTAGACAGATTATCGCTCGATTTGACGTCGGTAACCCTCCCATACGTAATGGACATTGTATTAGTAGTAAATTAATTAGATAACAGAGAGTAACAAACTCTCATGAATTAAAGTTACCTTAGTCTATTTAAACTAATATAAATATTTCTCTTAATATAACTGTTAGTTTATGATGAGCATGATATGATATATGCGTATTTATTTAAGACCAGCAAAAAGAAAGAAGACTTGAAAGTGGCCAGAAAAGAAATTCCAAGCATGAGAGGGTTAGAGCTGTTAATGACACGCAAGTTATGCGAATTGTGCTTTCTTTACTGTTCCGCAAAGCTTTGTTGCTTTTTCATGCTTGCCTCATTTTTTCAATCCCGATATTATAACATGTGTTATTCAAAATTTTTTAATCCGCTAAATTTTAATGTCTGAAAATGGAAAATTTTATAATGTTCCTTTATTTTTACAACAGGAGTTTGTGTCTTATAAAAAAGATACTCTGTTGACGAAACTATTAACTGGTTGTTTACAACTGACTTGTGATATCTGATACAAAACTTTAAATGTCTTATCATTTTGAAAATATGTAAATTTTAAATCGTTAATATATTTATTACCGCGTATAGCTTTCCAAACATGAAAACGTACCTGGGCAAAACTTGCAACATTCCTCTGCCACGCTGAGTTGCTCACTGGATGGACACGGCAGTGGTGGGCATTTGGTGTCAGTGTCGATTCTTGTGCAGGTGAAGCTACCGTCGTAGCAGTTGCACTCGACGCACTGCTTCGGCGAGACCCTCTCGCCGTGATCGTAAATTACGCCATGCAAGTAACATTGTCCTGTGAAGGCGAATATGAATGGCGAGATAAGTAACGTGAGGCACGAGACGGAAGCGAACGACTGAACGCGAAACACGCTACGTCAGCTAATCGGTCAGTTGCGTGCGTGAAAGTAAGGGAGTAGATTCGCGTAAAAGCGACGCTGTATTAGAATAATCGAAAGAGTTATTCTCTCCAAGGTGCCAAGAATTTATGCTACGTTCCAAAAGCAAGAAATGTATGGAATGTGAATGATAAGCTGTATCGTGCGCTCAGCAAAAGACGATGAGAATCCTAGATGTTATGAATCCTAGAGTGTTGCCAAAGCTTTAAAATTAATGGTTTAGAAATCAATGGTTTAATAGAAGCTTCTTTTTGTTAAAAATTACCACAAATTATAGAATATTAAGGAAATACATTTATGAATTGTGATATGAAGGGGTGAGAAAAATAAAAGTATAATATTTCACTTACTGAGACAAATCGGGCAACATTGTCCCTCAGGAATGATGGGATTCTTGCAAGTGACCGGAGTGCAGGACGTAGGTATACACTCGACCTCGCCGTGAAGACAGGAACAATGTTGACAACCCTTTGACCACGTTTCGCCGTCATCGTGGACAGTACCATTCACTCTACAGGACTTTTGGCACTCGCACTCCTCCACTTTACTTATCCTGCCCTCTGCAGCGGCTAGCTGAAAGGAAGGATGTCCATGAATAATTTGTCTTATTTATATTTTATTGATAAAAGGCAGCAATGTGTTTACTACAAGAATAATTCCTAAAAAATTGACAATTATCGAAGAACACTCTCTGTAAATAAACATTAAACATAAACTATAAAGAAACATTCCGCATAATTATACTATAAAATTATAGCAATACATATACCTATGTAATTTACATTTAATTCATATTGAGATTTATATTCAAATCTCATATCTTCGACATAAGAGTTTGTATAAACGTACAAATTACTCACCCTACGAGTCAATTCATTGAGATTGTGCATTAGCTGTTCCACAGTATTCTGTAATATCGAAAATTGACCGCAAGTGGGACAAGATGAGTCGAGCTGAGGACATTGGGAAAGATAACCGTGAGGTCCTGCTATTAACTTGACGTCCTGTAAAGCACCCTGTAGTGCGAAAATGATACAGAAAACTTAATTCGGGGTGTGAAATCATCGTATGTGAATATTATGAGAAATATGTTTCAATTAAATCAAACAAAAATCTGATTGTGTTTTTACTGATAAAAGTTAAAAATTAGCAGAAATAAATCCTAATTTTATTCTAGTATTCCAATTTTATGATTAAGTGATATTGACTTTAAATAGAAAAGAAATAGAAAACAATACGGATAGACTTATACTGCAGTAAAACGTGCGGCTTTACCTTGAAGAGAAAGTGCCTGATGTTTCTCTGCCCTACCCAGAGCTGGAGCTGCGGCAGGGTGAAATTGGTGTCGGGTGGACCAGGTCTCAGCAGTCGCCTGTACAAAGGGTGACAGTCGACTAGCAGCTCGACCTGCGAGCCGCTTATGCTCAGGGCGACCCTGTGCCAGGCGCCATCGGCTAATCGGAAAGGAAACGCCTCGACGTGTACGGTTCCGTCGCGGCGTGATACATAATGAAGTCGAAGCTCGTCCTTGCGTCCGCTGCTCTGCAGCTCCAAATACCTAACGCACATTGTATTCTATTTATTGCCGGTTCAATTAGACTTATACGATTATCCAGAATTTAATCTAAAGCTGTCATAAAATGTGATATATGATATATGATATATATTAAATGTTATTATTTTGAACTGGAGTAAAGAACTATAAACTTAAGTATTATAGTTACGCCTTTTAATACCATTTAATATTTATTGTGAACTTTCTTTCTGGTTTATTACTTTATTATTAATATCATAATAATTACAATAATAATTCTAAAATTTTATTAAGAGCATTATTCTAATTTACGTTATAATCTGAATGTACGTATCAAGACATTTAAATTAGCTACCACCACTAATGAGCTGTAGTTACAGGCAACGCTTAATTAGGTTTTGAGAAATTTATTAGCCTTTAAGAAGCTTATTGAGTTCTATATTAATAGTTGCGGCACGTTAATATATGCCATGCAATATATACGAGCGTAAGTCCATCCAATTTGTGTCAGCTAGGCGAAAACAGGTAGATCGTATTATCGAAGTACTGACGGAGGATGCAGTATTGAGTTGAGTACTCCTTCACTCTCGCTCGACAATTGACATACTAACTTCTTTTACAGCCGATGCATACAAAGTTATAAAGCTGAGAAGCAATTTTTAACAAAGCGACGAGACGAGAAACAAAATGCATATGTACAATTGTTGCCTGACAATCTCGCCACGGCGATATTATTCAATAGTAAAAGCGTTTTATTGTCGAGTGGGTAATAATTCTTTATCCTAGTTATATGTACCGAGTAATGTAGACGTCATTATTTCAAATATAAACGACAGCGGAATTATTGTGCTGTATGCATTAGGGTATGATATCATCAAATCGTAAAATGCAGAATATTCCACAGTTATTCGTGAAAGATATGTCGTATTTCACTTGTAATTTCTAATAGTCTATAAAAGTATTTTGATCATCTCATATTTATAAATACGTATAAATACGTATTTATATTTTATTAAATAATATGCCCGAAAGATTTCTCTCCTCCACGCGGTTTATATCACTCTTAGCGTTTGAAATAGGTCACAACTCGTAGTTTGTTTCAAGTCCGAAATTCCCAAACGGCATTGCAAAGTGTTGCGGAGTGAATGGGAAGAAATTTTTCGGTATTTTGTACCTATTGTTCCCGTGTGCAAAGGCGACGATCGTCCCAGAATTGGCCTCCTCTTGGCGCAGCGCGGCTGCTATAGTGAATTCCGGAACCCGCCGGAGTAGCGCGGCCGCCCGTTCGAAGTTCTCCTCGTTCAGTCGGAGCTCCCTCTCCTCGCCTGGAAGTAGTAAAACACAATGATCAGTGCGGCAAGACGACTGACTGTGCTCCGCAATTCTTAACTGTATATTTTATACAGCACTTTTCTCGTAGGAATCCTCTATTTAGCATATTCAATTCTTTCTAGTATTTTCAAGTTCCATCCTGTGCCCCAAATTGGACATATTCGAGCGAGAATATAAAGGTGTTCTGTATAGCTTTTACATCATTAGATATGTATATATGAAGATTTTTGGATGTTGAATGCATCTAGCGGTCTATAGGAAGGCCTGTCGCATGCCGTGCTTGAAATCGATGCGGAGCTGATTTGAATTTTTAACCTGGCTGCTTTCAGGTAAGGTTGAACCTTCCGGAAAGCGGTCTACCTCGAATTTAGAGCACGGCGAGCGATCATTATTTACGAGGCAATATTATGGCAGAGGATATGCTTCTCAGTCGCGTAGTGAGAGAGGCGATATTGAAAAATAATGAAGAAGTTGCATATTTGTAGTTCTGTTCACTTTAAAATTTATTGACAGAGAGTGTGTGCGTTATTCATGTAGTATAATTCAATGCTAAGAATTAATTATACGATATCGTTCTTTAACAATAAACAAATATCTTCTTGGACAGAAATATATAAAATACTATCTATATATACTAATATCTTTTTTCACTTAATACTTTTCTTATTATTTTTCACTTAATTTGAAATTTAAATATTCACCAAAGTGTTGTGTATGAGTAATAATAATATATTATATATTTAATTAATTATTCAGTCTCAATTTATTTGATATATATTTTTTTCACAGTATCGAGAAAATATTACTAAAACTTTTTGTCATGCTATATTTTCTTTAGCGTCAATAAGTAACAGAGTAAATAGCAAGAGAATTCCATCCATGAAGTAGTGAAATAACAACACTTTTAATAATATTACGTAAAATGTCATGGTTAAATCGTTTACTGGTTGCAGTAATGCAAGAACTGAACTCGACTCGGCGATGGAGATTAGAGTACAGCGATGTAGGCCACCCCGAATTTTTGGAGAGTAGTTGGTCGCAGATTCTCTGCGCAACCGTTATGTAATCGTATTGACGCGAAAATTTTATTGTTTGTAACTTCCGGATCTAAATTCCTGTTCACGAAAACACATTTAACAAAATGAACAATCCGATAGTGGCCAGTAAGCAAAATATTCTATGAATCTATAATCGTTCTTTTAATATCGTTTTATACAATTTTATACAATTCACATGAGTTAATAATAGTAGAAAGCTATAAGGTATATATAATTATATTTATTACAAGCAAGATTAAGACCAATGTAATATAATTATATAATTAAATATAATATATTCATTATATAATTATATGATAAATGAGAATATTACAAACTTATTTTATTCATCATAATTGTTATAAATAATTTGCGTTTTAAAACATCTCAGAATGCAATTTATATGTTAAATATCTAAAGGATCTTTAAAAAAAAATTTATGTTTAATAGATATGTAATAGAAATAGCCTATCTAACAGACATTACAAGTATTCTATTTCTTCTCGGGGACACAAATTATAACGTATGATTATAACGTATAATTGTAACGTAATTCTATTATTACCGAAGCTCGTGATGTGCAAATCGATCATAGATATACTTTGTATTGCATTCAATTAACACGTCGCGTCCGAATGGTTGCTGCTTGTCCGAGTAGCTATCCATTAGACAGATTAATACGGCCATTTGGCAAATTACACCGCAACTAAGCCACTGCAATCGACAATCCTACTCTCCGTCGTGGTTTCAATATCATCATCATTAAGCGAATCGTGTAATGTGTCACGTACAAACGAGAAATCCCACAGCTGCACACATATAATCATAGGAATGTATAATAGAAAGTATCTTTCGGAATTGGGATTTTAAATTTACTAACTTTATCTCTTTTTTTTAAATTAGATTGCATCTGCGGGTACAATTAAACCTAATAATTAAACTTTAAATCTTACTGTCGATTTATCAAATAAATTCACAGATTTAAATTATAATTTTCAAAATAATTTCTTCTCGAGACTTTTACCTTTATTTTGTAGATGAAGATTCAATGATCCATTTCTCAATTTTAACGCGGCGAAATGCTTGGTTTTTTTTTCTTTTTTACGAAAAAGGATCCTGTCCAAATAAGGGACACCTCATTACACGACTGCCGCATGTAAAATGCAGCACAGTGCCGCTGGCTGGCTTCTCGCGACGCAAAGTGCGCCTCGAATTTCAGATACAGCGCCGGTGTGCACAGAGTAACCGGACACCCGACCGATAATAAAACGTCGGTGCCTTTTTGCGCGTGGGTCTCGCCACCTACGACGACGGGCCGAAGGGCCGCCGATCCGCGGCTACGACGTCGTCGAGCAATTACGTACGCGCACGCTTAATTATAATGTAATACCACCGGTCTAGGCGACCGAAGGAGAAAGGTAGGCCGACTAGCGAGAAAACACCCCTACCGAGCGCTGCTCGCTCGTCTCGAAGAAAATCGTTCCGCGCGAATTGGCACGCACGAGCCAACCCTTGCACTCGAACTGACACGGGCAGAAACCATAATTTGACCGTGAAATTTTGTTTTCGCTACGCGAAGACTGGCTGCAGTTTCGAGCAGCGGAAAAATGATCGTTTCCTGTGGGGTAGTTAGTCAGGGTTATTTACCCTTTATATATTTGTGCGTTGTGGGAATAAGCAAGGCATTCGAAATGCTTACGTAGAACAAAGTTAACAAATTTCCCGTTTTCAATTTCAATAAAACTCGATAAATTAAAAAATGAAGTAGGTAATCTTGATGTTTTTATATTTCTTTTCTGATATTCAATTGAGCTATCATAATGTTAGAAAACATTTATTTTCTCCTTTGCATTAAAATTCATAAATTAATAGTAAATGTTCGATAATAATATAATATCATTCTTTTATAAGTCAGGGTAACCTATAAAAGTTACAAGTAATCGATAATAGACATTGTCTAAACGTGACAACGCAAAATTCGCGTGTCTCGATTTGATCAATTTATAATATAATAGCATCGTAAAATATTTATATAACGATTAAATCTCTCTTGTACTCTATTTTTATCTTTCTCCTTTTTCTCTCTCATCTTCTACGTTTTAATTCCACCGCGAAAATTAAATAAGTATCAAAGAGAAATATTTATTGCTGTAAAAGATTATTTTGTTTAGGATACCACAAAGAACAGTTAATAAAAAGCTCTGTGAGCTTGGTGATAAATAAGATATGAGGATTCGTATCAGAATCTCGTGGTTACTTCAATCGAATTGCCGAAATCATCAAATCGTGCACTATCCCTTATCCAAGCAGCACAAAAGAGGGTCGGTAGATCCTATTTTCTAAGTTCAGAGAAAACTCCGACACGTGTCGCTGTATATCATTTTCGTCCTTTGTCCTGCAGCAAATACTTGTTAAGATCCAACGGTTCATACGAGATAAATCTAATCCTAAAGAAATTTCTCTTCCCTGTGTGTCCATCCAGAATGATCGAAATGGGGTGAGAGGCTTATTGCATGCGACAGCGAAAGATAATGTACAGGAAATAGGGCGAATATTTCTTTGTTGCTATCAATTTGTTTTCAGTAGATAAAATCAGAATTTTTTTCAAAAACTTGATCTAGTTTGCAATAGATCGATTTTTATAATTATGAATCTAAGAATTTAATTATTAATATTGCAATTTTGAGTTCAATTTTGTAAACTTTTATTGATCACTAAGATTATTATCATATATTATAATCGCTTTTCAAGCTCATTTAAAGTACAAGATAATTCAAATAATTTTGCTTTTATTCGACAGGATGCTTTTATCTTTATTAGGATATCAATCTTATCTCATTTATTAACTAAAGAGTTAAATTATCATTCTCAAATTGCGATATAAATATAGTCTTTTATCGATCGTCAGCTTTTGAATCAGATAATAAAATCTCGGGGGAATTAAAGCAAACATTTGCGGCATAGGCAGAGAAAAGAAACTGTATTACGATTTGCGTGCAAGAGCGAACGGAAAGAGGTGGCTGGAGAGCAGGAGTAGGAGCGTCAAGGACTCGCAGATATGAAGAACAAAAAAAAGACTCCCCCTTACATTCTCGATGTTGCGAACCACGAAAAGTCTGCCTAACTTCCACGAAAGCACCCTGTGAGGGTGCAGCTCGAAGAAGGGCGTCAGTGTAATTGAAATTTCTTTCGGGGAAACCCTACTCCCGCGGCACTTCAACCCCCTCTGCTTCCAGGCCCGTTTTCCGCGGCCGTTGCACTGCCGCCCACACACCCACGTGGCTTGGACACCATCCGCCGCTGAAGGGCGCGGGGATGCCCCGATATAATTGGATACACCATGTTACGGGGTTGAATAGACGACGTGCTGGTCGATGTGAAGGGTCGTCTATTTAACAGGAACATCGTTTAACTCCTTCGAACGCTATCAATTTCACAAAGCATTGTATATACATTCTGCGTTACATGCAAAAATAAGTATAAAATTAAATATTAAAAAACATAACAATAATTGATAATTATTATTTATTACGTTACACATCAGCCGCATACTATTTTCAAGTAGAATGAATTTATTGACTGTCGAAAATGCTGTGAAATTGGCAACTTCCTGAAATTCGAGGAAAGAATCGATACTCGTCATAGGGGAATACCCTCTTGGCGTCTGCGAGCAGAGACGACGCGTAGGCGGTGCTATCAAACTGACCTTTCGCAATATCGATTAATCGCACGTTGCATAACCAGTGTCGTGTAATGAGAGGCACATGCATCCATCAAGAGGCAATGTTGCTCGTTCACCATTTTTCAAGGAATTAATTTTGGAACAAGATTCTTCATTGACTTGTAAATTAATTCTAAATCTTGCAATCCGTTATACTACTACACAGTAAAATACACTTTGTATTTGCGTTAAAATCGGTCCTCGTTATAATTTCTGTGTTGAATTTTTAACATATCCAAGTGTGTGTGTTAATTTGTGTTATTTAAATATTTTGTGTTAAATTGATATACATTTCTTGATACTAAAATAACATAATTTATGCAAGTGAACAAATAACGTAAAAACAATGTTTTTTTAAATTCTAAAATAATTGAACAAAATATATTAATTTGATATATTATAAATGTTAATTTTATTGATGAAATATGTTTCTACAATTTATTTATAAATTATGTCAATGTTATATTTTTGTATTAATTTTTTACGTGTTATTTTTGTGTAATTCCCAAATATATTCATTTAATTAACACAAAAATTTGAATGAATCATTTAGGACATATAACATGAAATTTGGGACATATAACATCAAAAAAATGAAATTTATCTAGAAAGTACATATAGAAATATATTCAACATTTTTCAAGTTATTATAAATGCGTAAACTTTTTTAAATAATGTCATAGTATAAAATATAATATTATTACAATATAAAATCAGACACGGAAATATCTTCAATAAGAATTCATATTTCAAGATAATTTGTTTCGCGCGTATTTTATCATCTTTTATATTTTCAATTTAATTTTTGAGCAAAGAATTTCGTGGCAAAGTTTGGTGGAATATAATGGAGATAAGTCTCGTGGGTTATAACTCAAAGAATGCAATCATCGTCTTCACGAGACATAATAATTGCAATGTGCTATATGAGGAATGAGAAGAGAATCGCGTAAAGAAAGCCCCAGTAATATGCAAATTAAGGGAGTATTCAGGTTAAGAGAGCATTACCGAAGTGGCAGCTTCGTGTACGAGCTATGATTTATCGTGTAATATATATTGTAGCTTTGAAGGAGTGTGAATCAAATAAAAGGCTTTATTTCCTCTTACGTCTATATAGTAACACATCAAGCGTAACATGCTTTAATCCATTTTTTACTATTTCGATTATATTCTCAAAATACTAACATTGACATTTGTCAAATTTCTAAAATTGTATTTCTTCCAACTTCTAATACAACTTCCTGTTGAGAAATTAAATTGTCTGTTGGAAATTGAATTAGAATCCGTAGAAGAAAAACAAACGATGGTTGATTCTTTTCTGCAGAATATTGTTCATCAAAATAAAAATATCAAAATAAAAATTACTATTTTGCAATGTCCAAGAATTCTTTTATCAATCATCTACATCGATGATAATGTATGTGCGCAACCTTTTTTAAGGATTATTTTCAGAGGACCATTTTAAAAATAAGTAAAATTTTTCTGGCTGCATAATGTTTATTTAGTTTGCATAAAATAGAAAATATAATTTTATATTTTTGACTATAAGTTAGTGAGCCGCAGATCACTGGTCTACACAATGATTTTTCTTTTAAGATTTCGTGAATTGAACCGAAAGTAATAAAGTTGACTTACCCTGAAGATAATAGGCTGGTCTCAATCTAATCAGACCCGGCACCTGCTTAACGCCCTGTCGAGTAGTATTATGAAGCTGCAGGGCTGCTAATAGATCTATACCTCCTCCAGGATCACTTCCTGTCTTTGTTTTCGCGCCGAGGACTACGGTAGTTCCTTCTGTGACCGAAGATATCCCCATTTCTTCCTCTTTCGTCGTTCCAGACACTGAAACAATTAATTTAAAATGTTTGTTTATTGTTTATACAACGGTTATTTGACTATTGTTTATAATATTAAAAAAATCACCGTAAATTTAATTGGGAGAGTATTGGCGATAAAATGAATAGTCAAAGATATAACAATACACGAATGGCTGGAAAGTACAAATACAAAAATTAAAAAATAAAATCGCGTAACTATTAATTTCTTCATATTTTCTCACTTATTCATATTACGGCTACGCAAAAATTTCAATAGCAACCAGTTATGTTGAAGATGATATTGAAGACGATAATTTCTTTCCGCGTTCTGGATTGGCCGACAAAATTATTTCCAATGCGCAATTTATCTTTATGCAATAAACAATTTTTTAATTTATCTTGTTCATCGAATAATTATTACGCTCTAATTTTCTTTTTTCCGCGATTATTCAATTTCGGTTTCGACCGAAATTACATTCGTTAGCAAGGGAAAATCCCTCAATAAAATTAATCTCTTGAAGAAACTTTCTTTCAACCAATCTTTTATTAGATGAAATCAAGAAGCTAAGGATAAGGGAAAGGAAGAAGAAATAGAAGAAGAAAATGATCATAGACGACGTAGACTTCTCGAAACGGTGGTATTGATCGACTCTTCACAGTCGACGCTCGTTATCGGCGTTTCCGTGCTTTTCCCCGTTCCATGAAGCCTTCAACCCCTTCCGCGAAACTGTCCGCCCCGTAAACAGTCTGTTTTTATATATATATATATATATATATATAGTGAAATCCATTCTGCCTTTGTCGCGTCGACTTCACGTTGATAATGATTGAAGTCCTGTAGAAAAAAATTTGTTGGTCTGTCCGCTTTGGGCGAACAATCCCTCGATCGGACTGGCTACTTTCGCGATGAGCGACAACCCTTGACGTTTGGTTACGTGAGACACACGCTCGCCACGAAAACCTGGTCTTTCCTTTTGACAAGGTGATTGGTGGAAACGTTAATGGACAGGATGGATAAAACTGATACGAATTTGATATATTTATATATAACAAAGTATCCTATATCAATGAGAATTGGAAAAAGTTCTTTTATCTAATTTTTTTATTTTTTTAAATTCTTTTAAATAATATCTAGATATATATCTTTTATTCTTCTACACAAAATTCCGTTAGTCTAAAAAATTTATTTTCTCAAAATTCTTTTCATAAAAGATTCAAAGAATATATTTGTAAAAGAAATATTAATGGAACTGCGAAAATTATTGTTATTTCTGTCATGTAGAATAAGTCTGATATGTTTCTATAGCTTAGTTTTTAGTAATTTTTTAGCTTAATTCTATTAAAATAATTAAAATAACAATATATTTAAATTTAATAAATACATTGTTGGTTGCTAGTATAAAATCGATTAAACATTAATAATAATGAAGATATGAATACTTTTTCCAATATCAAATGTGATTCAATTATAACTTTTTCTAATAATTTAAAAATTAAGAACTCATATCCTTTCTGGATAATAGAAATGAATTAATAAAATGACAGAGATCGGCAACGAGGGTTTTTCAATCGATTACATTCGTTTTAATAATATCGGAAGAAAGAAGTAGAAATGCGAAGGAAAATGTAGAGTTAATGAATAAATCAGAACGTAAACAGTATTGGCAACATTCCCCGCCAACAGGAAGGCGTACGTTCAAGAGTATAATTTGCTTAAATGCAGTCACCGAAATCTAGAATGATATTTTTAGCCCACGCTAAGAAAACATCAGGCAGGTGTCTGTAAGCAGATTCACGCCGATCATTTCGCGTCCTCAAAGTTTATTTATGCACATATGCTTCTCTTTGAACACTGCGGAGATTCATACATCGCTAGAGGCAAACACATTATACATCAAACTAATGTTCCTCTACACTCTACATCAGAAACGATAGACTCAATTTCTTACGAAAATAATCTGATAATACATGTTCTTATTCTTCGATTAAATACAATAAACTTTCTTAAGAGAGAAGCTAATGATAATTATGCCTAACTGAATAAAGTATTTTCGTGCAACATTGATTAAGTTAAATTGATTAATTTTGATTAATTTGATAATTATAATTTATGAATTTTTTAATAATGCTACAGCAAAAGTTCATGTTATATTATAATTTATTTATTCTATAAATAAAGTGAACCAAAGCAAAATGTTGTAAGTGCTATTTTTTTAAATTTTTTTTAGGAGAAAGGATAAATTTATTCTCTTGAAAACTATCACTTAAAAAATTCTACAAAAAATGCCGTAATAACTGAAGATATGAGTAATCAATTTCTATAGATATTTTTAATTAAGTAATTTATTCTAATTTTTGAAAAAATTGTATTAAAATTGTTAAAATTTTAAATCGTTATAATATATCTGAATAAAAATGTAAGTCAAAACATTGTAAATCCACATAAATAAAGTGCCAATTACACTTACAACATTTTAAATTGCATTACCCATTTTTCTTCGTGTGTAGTAGCACTTTCCAAGCCAAATATTAGTATGTAACAGAACACAGCACTTACAACTCATACAATAAAACGCACTTTCATAATTTTGGCACTTATAACGTTGTGTCGTAGCACAAATATCGATTTATGTTAAAATATATAATGCGGATTCAAGAGAGTTATATATATAATACAATTGAGATTAATGTGGTTATTATATTGCGAAATTTCAATGCTAATTAGTTTTAAGATGACTTTATGCATGAATGCTCTAAAAGCGTGTCGGTTTCCTTTAATTATACGATATACGTGCAAAGAGAAGCCTTAAGAACTTCCTTCTCCCTTTCATCCTATCTTCACAAAATGAAAGAGACACGCATCACTTTAGATCCTAAAGGCTTTGGCGACATTCATCGACCAAATCGTCCAGCAAATTAATATACTCACCGATTGAATTTTGTTGTCCATACCTAACCATTTATTTATCGATCCTAATACCTGGAATTTCCGTTTATAGAAGTCTTTGTTACATTTTGGATTTTTTAATTATTTTTCTTTAGTATTTTATAATAATCTAATATCATAATCACAATCTAATATATTAATAACAATTGAATAGAATTGGAAATTAAATTGTATTGTTTTTCTATTAAAGAAATATTTTTTACTTTTTATATCTCTCTCTCTCTCTGAGAATAGAACATTTTAGTTTCATATCGCATCATATTTTAATAGTATTTTTAGCCTCATTAATATTGTTAATAATTTTATGAAAAATATCTTTTTTTAGTAATACTATATTATTATTTTATAACATTGATAAAATTGTTTGTAATTTTTTATTAAGCGAAGTTAGAAATGTAGCGGTAATGTGATTACACAAGAAACAGATACGCAAGAGATTCGGTGCTAGAAAACGCGTAAATGTCTCCTAAGACGGGATGACGTTGGGTGAAGGATGGAACGGAACAGTGGCAGACTGCCGGGCGTCGCGACGCCGGTATCGAACCGTACGCGGCATTATCGTCAAATTCGCGAGAGGGAGAAGGCGAAAGAGTGAGGGAGAACGCGTGACACGTGGTGTCTCTCCTGGCACGACTGTCACCGTTACATTTTCTGGCATTCACGACTATTACAATTATATCGATAAGACGGCAGGTCGAGCAACATCATCGTTCGTCATATAACGAAAGTTGAAATTTCTCAAAGATTTCTTAAAAATTATACTTTTGCTATATATCGTATCACGTGTTACGCGTGAAAATTAAAAATTACTATTCTACAAATATCTATAATTTCCAAGGACGAAAATTTAATTTATAATATTTATTTAGAGATATAAAATTCCAAATGAATAATTAAACTCGATCGAGATATCACGTAGTGCAATTATATTTTTATTTTTGTCTATACGTATACGTAAGCATGTTTAATAATTCGTGCCGAGGGCAATTCTATCTTTATCACTGATCACGCCATTCGACATCGGGTCATTAAATCGCACCGGCTGATCGTCGCATGCCATGTCTTTCATTCACGACGACGATGAAGCGAGGCAGTACCGAATGCCAGAGACTGTGTGTGCTCGTTCGAATCGATAACACGCGACGGTCAAGCCGCGCGGAAACCAACCCGTCCTCGTACGGCACACGATTCATCGATCGACACCTTCCGCTCCTCTGCGACCTCCGGCTCCCTCGACACGAGACTTGCGGCTGGCTCCTCGAGGGGGTTGCAGCCCCCGGAAACCCGGAAGCTTGAAATCGGTAAGACAACCCGGGGAACACCGAGACGTGCGGCGATGCATTTCGTCAGCTACGCACGAGCGCACATTCTCGAAATGTTCATTCTTCCGTGTTTTCTGTGTTACAAGACTTCGTGAACTTTTTCACGTTGAAAACATCGCCGTTGGAATTTACGTACAACGACGGGATCTCCTGATTCTTTCATCTCTTAGAAAAACAAACTTGTCGATGACAAGCAATACAAATTACTGATATGGAATTTGCGGTTATGCGAAATTTTATAGAGATTATATTACTTATATTTTTTCTTTTTTTGGCTTGATTAAATTAGTAACCAATGAAATCTAAATATATCAATAATATGGTAATAGTAAATATGCAATTGTTTTATAAATAATTATTTCTAAAAAAAATCGTAAAAGTAAAATTGAAAATTCATAAATATATCAATAAGACAGAGATTATGCTAAGAATTTTGATATTGTTAAGCGGAAGTACTCACGTTTAGAGCCATCCTTTTGTTTTTCTGTGTTTAACTGACCTGTTACTATTGTTACAAAAACGAGGAGAAAACCAAGATGACACTTTTCAGCAGGGTTGGTAAAAAACATGTTTTAAACAGTTTAAAACATGCTTAATTGATATTTTTAATATGTTTTTTTATAGTACTGTTTAAAGCAAATTTGAAGCATTAAAAACATATTTAAAAAGAAACACAATATGTTTCATTCTTAAAAAAAAACCTTAGTCTTTACCAACCCTTTTCAGTACAAGAGACGACATACTTATTTCATAATC